AAATGGTGCGAAATGGTAACGTGTTCTTGGGGGCCGTCGAGGATTACTTGCACTTTGTTCCAGTGATAGACCCTGTCTGGAAGCAAAATGATACCGTTTTGGTTTTCTGCTCACTGCTCAGCCTATAGCTATCATCAAAAGTGGTAGAGTGTTGTCAGCACAATTCCATTATTGCATGTTGCATGAGTAACGTTAAAGAAAGCACATCTCGAGACATTTCAATTTTTCCCGGCAACAACCTGGAAACACCACCGCTCTCACCCTCACCCCCCTGGGCCTCAGGCCGGCGGGTAGATGCCTGCTTAACTTTAAGGGAATCTTATTTAACTCTATAGACTACCTGTGGCGTGAAGGGAGGCTTTCTTAACCGCCCCACTGAGGTCTGCGTATAACGCGCCCTCCTGGGGGGGGGCTTTTCATACGCCCCCCCCCCCCCCTCTAACTCCGAAACTACTGGGCCGATTGTCAAAATTCAAACGGCGTCTGATATCCGGCGTCCGGAAAAACTGCGAAGCCAAATTTTATTGACCTCGAGGTCACCGATGACGTCACAGGTCAGGTCAAAGTTTAAGTTATTGATATTTGGCTTGTTCACATTTTGGGCTCTGGCCGCCGGCTTACGAGTCAGATCAGGCTCATTTTTGGTTTACACATTCCTGAATAGATGTTTTAGATACCCTGAAGGTACCAAACCTGTACATTGATTTTCAGGTCAAGGCTAGGTCATCCTAATCACAGCTCACGGAAATCTTATGTCATGCATTGGTCACGTTACATACATACCTAGATGCTTTAGATACCCTGAGGTGAGGGTACCAAACCTGTACTTTGATTTTCAGGTCAAGGTCAGGTCATCATAGGTCACGAAAATTTTATTTCATGCATCGGTCACGTGACACTGTTTTATGGTCCATTTAGGTAGGCCAAAGATTTCGAATTTGGTGTCGCCTGTGTCATTGGAGGCTATTTTCAGCTGAATATAGCTGAGGTCAGGTCACTTGCAGGTAAAAAGGTCAAATTTTAAAGTTGAAATATACCTACGTACTGAATAATTGACTTCAATATTTTTTTTTTAAATAGTGAAAAATTTGCTGAATGCGTATAAATTGGCTATTTTCAAAGATATCTGGCTACAACTTGCTACAGTGGGTTAAGGTATCATGGGCCATGTGTTCTATCACATACATTTCGGTTTTTCAAAAAGTCAAAAACTTTTGGAAAGAAAGATAAAAATATATGTTTTGAAATTTAGGCCTAATGCATATACCTTATTTAAGACAAAAAATCAAAATTTTGAAAATCAGAGATTGTATATATAGTTTGATAGCACAGTGTATTCTGAGTCCTCTCATGCATAGAAATTGGATCTAGCTCAAAAACTGAGCTCTTGAGAGCTATTGCCGAGTTCAGTGTTTTGCGTCGAAATCGGCCGAACATGACGTCACTCTGACGTCATTTCCGGCTGAACTATTGTAGCTACGCAGTTCATATTCTGACACAAGGTGTCAAATTGATGCAGCTAAAGGTACTCAAAGTTTTGCGTCCATCTGTGTGGCGGTTTAGGAGTTATTGCAGAAAAACGAGAGAGGGGGCTATGAATAGCCCCCCCCCCCCCGTGGGGCGTGGGTGAACATGCGCCCCATGTTGTTCATGGACAATAAAACATGAACAACATCACGTGGCATGTGACCGATGCATGATATAACTCTCGCCGGACCTATTGGTTTTCTACATACAGGGGGGGGGGGCGGGTACGACCCCCCTCGCCGTTTCGCCCCTGGTGGAGCTAGCGCGTCGCGGAAAAAACGAGCGTGTGCGCCGTTACGAGACGCAGAGATTGGTACCAGATATTAAGGTCCTAAGTCAACCGGTGACCTCTGAGGTCAGGTCAAGTGCCCCAAGGTACGGCTCAGTTTTCGGTGAATAACTTCGCAAAAAAAGGTCACAGAGCCGCGATTTTGGCAGCATCGTGTTCGCCTCGATCAGGCGCGTCGAATGATATACTTTTTGTTCGGGTCAGGTCAACTTAGGGTGTTGACCTCAGGTCAAGGTCAGGTCAGCACCCCCAGGTCACGAAGTTGATCGAAAGAGGTCATGTTGCATATCATTCGATTTGGCAGGCCTTTCTGAGTCCATTGGTGGCTTTCCTGACTCGCTAGCTCAATTTGATCGGGAGTTATTGACGAAAAACTAATATGACCTTGATGGCGTCATAAATGATGTCACGCAAGGTCAACATTGCAAAAGTGGCGCATCTAACCTTGCAAGGAGTGCATCAAATCACGATTCTGTGTCCTTGAGATAGTTGTAGATCATTCCCGGCGCCAGAATAGCAGTTTTCATTTTTCCCCATTGACTTATAATGGTGAGGTCACGAAAATGACCTGACCTCATATGACCTTAAGGAAAAATCCGAGATATACAAGTTGTAAGACTCATAATGGATACTATATCCTGCAAGTTTCATTTCCCTGTGACATCTCCTCTAGCAGTGAGGGCGTTGCGAATTTGCGACATCTGAAGACCGTGCAGAGGTTCACTTATGACGTCATAGGTCAGTGACCTGACCTGACCCAAAAATTCGGTTGGTGTCAAAAGATCCGGCTTGGATCAAAGGTCAGGTATGATAAGTTTCAGCTCTCTATCGCCAGCGTCTTCGGAGCTATCGCGAAAAAAACCTATTGGGGGCGGCACCCCCCCCCCCCCTTGGCCGGCTATAAGGGATAAATTTCCGTGGCATAGATGACCCGGCCTTGAGCTGAAAAAACGCTCGCTTGCTAGTAACAGTGCTTATGTTTGTTGCCAAATTGTATAGAACTGATTGTGCAGCCCAGCCCATTTCCCTCTATTTACCGCATCAAGGGCAACGAGAAACACCGAACAAGCACGTGGTGTCTTTCATGACCTAGGGGGTGTCGGAGAATCGTACCTTTTGACCTGCCCAGGTCAAGCGGGGTCACATAGCGAGAAGCGGTTTCGAGGAAAAGTTGCTACGTCTCACGGGCTACCCGATGGTATGCTTTGATTTGGAATTCGGTCGATCCTTATACTCGAGAACTGCCGTGCACGTGTATTTTCGGCATAGCTCGCAAATGACCTTAGGTCAACGCATGACTGCGGGAGGTCAAATTGCTAGTGGGAAAGTAAGATCAGATACCTGCGAGTCGTTTGATGCCGTTTTTAGCGCTCTAGCGCCACTTGGAAGGGCCCATAAACTGCTGTGCAAATTTGGGACACGTGACCTTTGCTGACCTCTGTTGGTCAAACAGCTGGGAGTGCCACCAAATGACTCGGACTGTGGATTGGGCGTATCACGGCCTACATTGAGTGCGAGTCTCAGCTCGATCTGAGGTGTCATGAATCTGGGCTGAATCCGGGCTGCGACCTAGGGGGTGTCGGATAATCGTACCTTTTGACCTGCCCAGGTCAAGCGGGGTCACATAGCGAGAAGCGGTTTCGAGGAAACGTTGCTACGTCTCACGGGCTACCCGATGGTATGCTTTGATTTGGAATTCGGTCGATCCTTATACTCGAGAACTGCCGTGCACGTGTATTTTCGGCATAGCTCGCAAATGACCTTAGGTCAACGCATGACTGCGGGAGGTCAAATTGCTAGTGGGAAAGTAAGATCAGATGCTTGCGAGTCGTTTGGTGCCATTTTTAGCGCTCTAGCGCCACTTGGAAGGGCCATAAACTGCTGTGCAAATTTGGGACACGTGACCTTTGCTGACCTCTGTTGGTCAAACAGCTGGGAGTGCCACCAAATGACTCGGACTGTGGATTGGGCGTATCACGGCCTACATTGAGTGCGAGTCTCAGCTCGATCTGAGGTGTCATGAATCTGGGCTGAATCCGGGCTGCGACCTAGGGGGTGTCGGATAATCGTACCTTTTGACCTGCCCAGGTCAAGCGGGGTCACATAGCGAGAAGCGGTTTCGAGGAAACGTTGCTACGTCTCACGGGCTACCCGATGGTATGCTTTGATTTGGAATTCGGTCGATCCTTATACTCGAGAACTGCCGTGCACGTGTATTTTCGGCATAGCTCGCAAATGACCTTAGGTCAACGCATGACTGCGGGAGGTCAAATTGCTAGTGGGAAAGTAAGATCAGATGCTTGCGAGTCGTTTGGTGCCATTTTTAGCGCTCTAGCGCCACTTGGAAGGGCCATAAACTGCTGTGCAAATTTGGGACACGTGACCTTTGCTGACCTCTGTTGGTCAAACAGCTGGGAGTGCCACCAAATGACTCGGACTGTGGATTGGGCGTATCACGGCCTACATTGAGTGCGAGTCTCAGCTCGATCTGAGGTGTCATGAATCTGGGCTGAATCCGGGCTGCGACCTAGGGGGTGTCGAATAATTGTATCTTTTGACCTGCCTAGGTCAGACAGGGTCACATAGCGAGAAGCAGTTTCAAAGAAAAGTTACTACGTCTCACGGGCTACCCGACGGTATGCTTTGATTTGGAATTCGGTCGATCCTTATACTCGAGAACCGCTGTGCACGTGTATTTTCGACATAGCCCGTAAATGACCTTAGGCCAACGCATGACCGCTGGAGGTCAAATTGCTAATGGGAAAGTATGATATGAATAGGTATTTCAGATTCAGGTCACTCAAAGTCAGGGGCTTAGGTCGGACGTGACCTCAACTGAAAGTTTTAATGGTCGTCATAACTCATAGCTACTGACTGAGTAATTGCTTTGCAACTTTCTGCAATTCATTAGGACGAAGACATGCATTTAATCTTTATCTCAGTGTTCTTACATCGCGGTGGCCTCAAATATCAGTACCGGTCAATTTTACGACCTCTATCACGAGTCATTGAGCGTGAAAAATCAAACTGCGCCTTTGTTGGACAATATACATTCTTATAATATTCGCAAGACTGTTTGTCGTCGTTATTGAGTTTCAGCCATCTGTCTATGCCCACATCATCACCATTATCATCATCGCTGTCGCCAGTCCCCACCGTCACAATGCACAGGTAAACAGGTAAATAATTTGTGCTTTTTGTATTACTTGATCACAGAGACAGCTCGCTATTGTACATAGTACATACAGTATCAATGGGATTGATTACTCGTAAATGTGCACAATCGCTTTTACCTTGTGACCATCGACACATATTACACTTCGCAGGCTCAAATGAAGGCGTCGCCAATTTCACGCCCAATTAGTCGCACAATTTCACGTTGGAGCATTTTCATACACATCTCCCACACAGCCTGACAGCCTTTCCCGTGCGTCTTCAGATCGTCATTATCGACGATCGTCGAACCCTTTGCCTCGCGTCGGTTTCAGAACACCACCAGAGCTACCCGTTTTAGGACCGACACCCGTCACTGCGGGTAATCGGCGATGAACCTGCGCGCGCGCTCAATGGCCTCGTCGACGTAGGTGACAGCGCCGGCCACATCGGCAGCCGACAGGTCACCGAACAGGCCGCTGTCGAGGACAGAGGAGGCCAGACTGCGGGCAGAGTCGAGACTGCGCGCCTTGAACAGGTCCGTGACGGTCGGCAGGACGCTGGCTGTGAACGGCAGGCCGGGCACCGTCACCACGCCGATGATGGCGAGCACCATCACGATGCCGGCGATCATGAAGCCCGTGAAGACAAAGTCCAGGCCGAACTTGTTGAGGAACGAGCTGCCGCCTGTCAAACGGAAGGAGTGAGACGCGTGAGGGAGGTTGAAAAAAGCAACAGTCGCGAATATGGAACATTGTGCAACGATTAAAGATGGGACAATTTGGAGCGACTAAACAACGGAACAGTATGAAGCAAATTTTGGAGGTGTGATTAGAAGTGCGAGGTGATTTACTTTTGATACCCCTTTTGACTTATTTTCAGCTCTTATACACTATCATCAACGCTACGACTGCGGGCCGCACATACCTATGCTAAAAGGTCACATTTAGCATGACGCACGAGGCATCGTCTGTTACAGGCTCGGCATTCCCTAGACACAATAGGACTGTTTGCAGGCGCCGTGCTAACCGGCATTTGATTATGGGTTAACACTTGGCTAAAAGCAGCAGACCCATTTCAGACTACATTCACATTGATTTCACGAGAATTCACGTCATTCGCTAGGCGCGCCCCGTTGCGTTTGTTTTACTGTGATACTGGCTGACGCTATTAGTAAAGTAATCTTGGCTGACGCCACATGCTCGCTCGTTTACCTTTCTTGAAGAGTCCCTTTGAGTCGCCCTCGTAGGAGTCGTAGCCCATGTGCGACTGGATGTACTGCACCACCGGCTGGGGAGCGCTGTACTGCTGGGCGGGAGCGCTGTACTGCTGGGCGGGTGCGTCGTACTGCTGGGCGGGAGCGTCGTACTGCGGGGCGGGTGCGTCGTACTGCTGGGCGGGGTACTCGACCGCTGGCGGCTGGAGAAAGGGGGCAGGTGCGGTACGTTAAACGGTGAACTCTGCGTACACTTACAATGGTGCGCCTATAAATATACGAGTTTTAAACGTAAAGGTTTATGTTAACGGACATGCCGGGGCCACTTCAATGTATCTGTATTTTAGTTATTTTAATGACCACTATGTTGCATGTATCATGGTCGTATCATTAGCATTTACAAGTCAACAGACTAAGAGTGGAGCCTGCTATGATTAGCAAACATGCCTCATAGTGATACGCTGCCTAATAAACAAGACTTATTCATTACACTGATAGTTATTTTGAGAAAATATGTATTTTGACATGGACAAAGTCGCGGTTCGTTTCCAAGTTAATTAAGGTAGGTACTCACCTGGTACTCTGGCGCGGCCGGCTCGGGTGCCGTGTAGGTGCCGCTGAGAGCCACTGGATTCTCCGCGGCGACCAGTCCCAGGCCGAGCAGCAGGGCAGCAATCACGTGCATCGCCATCTGGAACGTCATACAGAGTGGTTTCATTATCTGCTGGTGCATTTATGTGTGTAATAAAAAGTCATTTTGACTTCACCTGTGACTGGGCAATTTAGGGTGTGTCATTTTGGGCACTTTTTTCGCAAAACATGGTGCTCCACTGATTTTATCGTGCCCCAGACACGTAGAAACCGTGTGACATTTTTTATTTCCCCCAAATATTAACACCCATGCGGCGCCGACCGCCGACACTTTGGCCTATCTCTCAGCATTAGCGACCTTAGCGCCCCTAGCGGCAATGTTTTGAACTAACACGCTCGCTATGCTTTGTGAGCTTACGATCATCATTAAATGCATTTTACCGAAATGACGCCTTGCTGTTGGCTTGTCTGGCACTCAGAATGTTGGTGAAAATGTGATGTTATGCATCTTAAAGCACGAAATAGTTCTGTGTTAATGTATATTGCATAGTACTACCCCCGATCCCCGTCCTGGTCTGACGGGATACGTACGAGCGCATGTTTATAGTGCCTGCTATTAGGTGTCACATGTTTTTTTTTTGTAGCGTCGTTCACTGCATAGACCCCGGGGAACAGGGGGGGGGCAGTGGGGGCGCTTACCCCCCCCCCCCCTCCAACTTGAGAGCCGAGTGGGCGCCGCCCCCTCAACATTGATGCAACTATGAAGGATCTCTGCTCCCTTTTATGGACCTACATGTGTTTTTATATAAACATCAGCACAAGGTATTTCTCTTGCATGTGAATGGTTTCTGCTGATTCGGCATCGATTTAAGAACACCTGCTATTGTCATCCCACTTTGATTTTATCTGAACTTGATCATAACTTTGGTAGGTCAGATTTTATACTGGACCATTTTGGTTCCGGATGGTATTTGATTTGGCGTGATGAGAACATTATGACGTACAACGGTGGTAAAGTCGTTGATTGATACAGGTTTACTCGCTCCGGTGGGAGGCAGTAGCGGCGGAACACCTTCAATTAAGTGGGGGGGGGACACTGCCGACTTTTGGTCCCATTCTTTCCATGCAACGCCCATAGGGCTAATGTTAAAATGCCCAAATCAGAGGGGGCACGGTGCCCCGGTGCCCTCCCCGTTCCGCCGCCTATGGTGGGAGGGCGGCGTGTGGGACTCAGGAGACTAATGGCTTGTGTTGTGCCTTTGGTAGGACCCTCAGTATCACCGATGCAGGGCCTTCAGAGCCTCCAATTAGGGGCCTTTAGAGGCACTGGTGTGGGGTCCTCACAGACGCCCGTGTGGCCCCTCAGAGGTGCTAGTGTGAATCCCTCATAAGCGCCGGTGAGGGTCCTCACAGAATACAGACGCCGTTGTGGACCCTCAGAGACACTGGTGTGGGTCCGTTACATGTGGGTGTGTGGCCCTTAGAGCTGCTGGTGCGAACCCTTTAAAAGTCGGCAGGGGGCCCTCAACGACCGGCGAGGGGGACCTCAGACCGGCATGGGGCCCACAGAGGCCGGCGGCATTTTCAGAAGCCCTGTGGGGTCCTTAGATACCGACAAGGTACTCTGAGACGCCAGTGCGGCCCTCAGTCTCTGGTGTAGGGCCCTCAGAGTTGCAGGTAGGTGGCCGTCAGATATGCTTTTGCCGAACCCTCACAGGCGCAGGTGTGGGTACCTCAGAGCCACCAATATAGGGTTGCATAAATGGTGTGGCACTGGCTTGGGGGACCCTCAGTGGTGTCCTTATGGGCCCTTAGAACCACTGGTGTGGGTCTCTCAGAGGTGCTGATTGTGAACCCTCAGAGGCCCTGCTGAGGGCCCTCACGGTCTCCGTTATGGGATCCTCAGAAGCCGGCGTAGACCCTGACGGAGATCTTAGTGTGGCTACTTAGGGGCTCATGAGGTGCTCTTACGAGACCTGTGAGGTCTTTCTCAGCTGAAATATAGTCAGCGTGGACCCTCAGAGGTCAGTTGGTACCGCAGGGGTCTTTATGGCCGGGTGGGCTCTCAGAAGCACCAGTGAGGGCCCTCAGTCTCACAGTCGTCGTAATGGGGCCGTCAGAGACATTGGTGTGAGGCCATTACTGATTACAGGTTGGCGTAAGGCCCTAGATATGGCCCCTCTTGGGCCGGCAAGGACTCTCAGAGGCACGCTAGCGGCCATAAGAGGCCGGTAAAGGGCCCTCAGAGGCCGCCAGTAGCCTTCAGAAGCCGGCGTGTAACCCTCATGGACAATTTAGTGAGGCTTCTTTGGACTCACGAGGTGCTGTTACGAGCCCTATTCTTTCTGAATCGAAATATGGCCAGCATAGACCCTGAGCGGTAAACTGGTGCCACAGAGCCCCTCCAACCCGAGGGGTCCTCTGAATGCGATAGGGGGGGGGGACTAGATGGCACGTGCCTCCTGGGACCCCCTGACTACGCTACTATTTCATATGCGTCATGTCAGGTACACATGACGTATTTTGGGCTTGCACCCCAACTTGAAGAATGTTCCTGGGCCCCTGTGACAATATATTGTATTCATTATAGGTATTCGTCATTAGCTTGCACTCTCTGCAATCTGCCCATACTATTATTTGTCCCTAGACGCACTTACAGAGAGCAGGGATAAGCCCATACAGTCAACGGCCTGTTAGTTTCGCAAACAGCCGCCAGGGGCGCTAGGGTCGCCTATGTTATGAGATAGGGCAAACTTCTCTCGCTCGGCGCCGCCTGGGGGTTAAAATTTGCGGGAAATTAACAATGCAACGCCCTTTCCACATAAGTGGAGCACAATAAAATCGATGGAGCACCTTGCATTGCGATTAGTGACACACCCTACTGGGCATTGGCCTGTTGTGTGTTCTGACCAATGAATGTCAAAGAAATAAAACTATACAATTACATACCTACTAGTCGAGAGATAATCGATTTAAGCGGTTTGCTTTTGTTGCTCTAGCATGCCGTATATCTTATTGGCTATACTGATCTCAGTCAGCTTTTGCCAAATTGTCAGAGAACTCAGATTTGTTTTTCAATAGAAAAACACAATTCTAAAGAATAGTGTTTTAACTATTGACAACAAACCTTCGGTTATTAGGTATTGCTTAAATTTCTTGTCGACTTTAGCTGTGATTAAATTCCATGAATCAATCGTTACAGAGCATCTTAAGGAACCTTAAATGCAATTTTGAACTACAGATGCAATGTGCATTTGCAACTTACTGAATTCATCAAAATAATGTGTTTGCTGAAGAGCAACACGACTATAAGTTTTAGACGATGACCTTAGACGGCAATGGTACGCGGAAATATCTTACCGTGTCCTTGATGCTGTCACCGAACCGTCAAGATCGCAAATGACAAAAATTTCCGGTCATCTCGGCACAGCGAGTACGGGCTGAGTTTGGCTCCACCCCACTTTTTTCGTTGCCATGGGAACAAAAAGTTCCCGCATGTCTCCGATCATCTTAGAACTCCTGCAATTTGTTAGCTCGGGGCGATTCCAGCCGGAGGCGATCCACTACCTGTCCCGGCTCTGGGGAGGTGGCTGGTAGCCGCTCCCTGACGCCAGATCGTACCGTGATACTGGGGCAGACCGGGGCGGGGCCAGCGGACGGAATACGCCCCGGGCGACCGAGACGAAGTGTTCATAGAGGGGTGAACGTCCGAAATGAGGTCAGTTCTGGCTCTCGCGCGCCCGTGCCCGGATCACCGGTCGCCCTCCTCCCTCACAGGAGTGTTTTGATTCATCGGAGGTCACCAAAACTTAGGTAAGCGCAGTAACTTCCGACACAATCGAATACGAACACAGTTAGAATGAAAATATATCAATCTAAGAGGCCTTTTATTGGCTGCATTATTGCTTCAATGAAAGCTAAGCTCATGGTTAGCCAATGATGGCAAACTGAATTAGAAATGATCGATGGATCTAAAAATGCGTTTGTAGTCGTTATTGTCTTTCAATTTTAATGTCATGTTTAGCACTGGACTTGAGGATTACAACCGCTCTTTATGCAAAATCATGATAGCTTTTTAAGGTTTCAATCGTCAGCTTGTCGTTCTCACCTGTGAGCCAATGTCGTCGCCGCTCGTCTAACTCCCTCCCCGTCTGTTCCCTGCCAGCCAACCCACCATGCTGCGCGCTGTGCTGCTGATGGCCGCGCTGGCCGCCGCCGTGCTGGCCCAGGCACCGGGTCCCAAGCCGGAGAACCGCGATTCCAGCTACGCCAACTACGAGCCGCAGTACCAGCCGCAGTACCAGCAGTACTACCAGCCGCCCAAGTTCAGCGTCGACAAGCTGGTGAGCGGCCTGGTGCTGCCGTCCGCCTCCGACATCATCACCGGCATCATCTACGTGGTGGCGGTGGCCGGCGTGGCCGGCCTGGTGCTCATCGGCCTGGCGCTGGTGCTGAAGCTCTTCAACCTGAAGCTGCCCATCATCAAGGAGCTGAAGCAGCAGGTCATCTCAAAGGTGGAAAAGGTGGACGCGCGCATGCTCGAATCGGCGTGGGAAACTCTGCTCAACTCGCTCGATAAGTTTGAGCGTAAATAGGCTGTGGTGGAGCGACGCCAACCGACCCCGCCCCGTGTTATATTTATGAATTGTACCGCATATCAACCAGAGACACCTCATGTACAAAACCATGTCACGGAAGAGCGTTAAGTCGATACTCGGCATTGTCCAAACTTGCATTTGTTCGGGCATTCTATGTATGCGCATGTCAGTATTTGCCGTGTGATTATGATTTACGCCGAAATCCGTGAGTAGGTAGTTACATCAATGATGTGTACATTGTTCCTGTATTCGATGCCATATTTATTTGTGAATTGTGTATGTTGTATGATTCGTGCATTGTGCCACGAATACATTTCACCTTCCAGCATTTATGTCTTTCATTATGGATATCTGAAATCTGCACGCGTTTCGTAATTATACGCTATGCTGCTACATGCGGTCAACCACAGTTTTTTTTATTATGTCTCAGTAAATTGCTCTGGACTGTGATGATATCGAATACATCTATCGCTATACTACGTAGCAACAGTGAGTTTTAATCACGCTCCCTATTTATATAGCACTGGGATCACAAGGTCATAAATTACCTAGACAATAGAATTAGCCTGTTCGGGATTCCGTAATTGAAGCTTAACCGCGGGGAAATAGTATATTTACCTAACAGCAATAATTATAGCTTATTCATCCTTATCTTTAACCAAATAATGGTAACATAACATTTAAATCAACGAAGGCCGTTGAGCCCCACCAGCCCCCTCCTCCTGTAATGGAAATTTGTAAATTCCCTTTAACTGATAACTCGGTTCCTACCAGTGAGCTACCTAAAAATTCGAATGTTCGAAAATTCGAATTCGAAATTATCGGTGCCTGGGGGACTTCGTAAAACTTTCGAGATTTCACTAAAGATTAGGGTGGCACTAAAACGGGGCTAAAATTTCGTTTTGAGAATTTTCAACGGGACGGGCAGCCAATCTGTTCTACCACCCGAGAAAACGTTGTGTGTAAAATATTTTTGGAAAATATGTTTATTTAGTGGTAGCTCAACGAGGTAAAAGTTCACATTTTTGTGAAAAACACAACTTTGCCGAAATTTTAATTTCCACGTGTATTTCGGATGTTCACAATGACATTGGACGCTGCCAAGACTTTATCGAAACGTTTCAGCACCTAAAGCTCAGATATATAGGTACATATGAGGCACATAATTCTTTTGAAGGTATGCATAACTTACTGCATAACTCCATGAAAAGAGAAAGCGGTATCATCCGTAATCAGCCAACACTTGTACACATCATTCGTCGGCTAGTCTTGCCTACTTAGAAGTTACGGTCGCCTTGCGTATGTCAGAATGTTTGCGTCTTTGCTCTTCTACGACCTACAAGAGGAGCTGCTGTTAGTCTTTATCCTTCGTGGGGGTCAGATCGATTTCCTGGCCATCAACAAAATGCCTCGTTCCGCGAAGTCGTAGAGGCGTGAAGAGACCTCATGTAGCGCATGGCGTCGTCGTAGAATGGCTTGACCTCCCAAGGAATCAGATCCTTCAAGAGGAAGTCGGTGTCCATACCGAGGATGCTGAAGAAGCTTGTGAAGCCAGTTGTGATATGACGAAGTCTGCCGTGGACTTGCTATAGAGACTGAAGCTTTAGTAAGTTCAACGTGGGCTCGACGGGGGGAGGGAGGGTTACTCGGCCCTCTCCTTCTCTCGTAACGATGCAGCCATCTCACGTTTAGTAGCAGCGATCGTTATCTCCTTCATTAGAAGTTGAAGGCGACCAGCCTCTCATTTAGATACCAGAGGTGACGGCTGAAGGCAATGGCTATCGTCTTGGACACCAATTCGAACACCAATTCTTCCAATTCGTACTCCAGGAGGGACTTGAGGAAGTCGAGATCTTGCGCTGGTGCAGACGCCAGAAGCCGTGCATTGAATCGAGCCGAAAACTACGTTGTTCCCACAAAGGTCACGATTTGTTGGAGGCTCTTCTTCTTAGACGTAGTGAGCCGGGATTGTGCTCGGAAGAGGTAAAACTTCATAGCGTAAATGGCATTGGTCAACCAGCACACAAGGAGCACATCGGGGCGAGCGATCTTCATACCTCGTTTCGGAGCACCACCGAGGACAGTGATGGCCAGCTCCAGCATCTCACGGTACGACCGAACTGTGCAAGAGCATCACGCGGGTTGTGGAGGTGGGACATGTCACAGTTTTTGAAGGTTTATGGCTTCGTTCTATCTAGACGCCCACTTTTTATGGAAGCGCTTAAACAAAACAACGTCTGGGCCGCTGGACAGGCCGAGGCAGGCTGAAAATGTCTTTATAGAACAAACTCGTAAATGTCGTGGCAAGTCAGGTGGAGCAAGTCCTGCTCAAGCCGCTGCTTGATGATCGCGCAGGCCCCTGCATTGATACTGGTGCTCGATGCACTTGTGTCAAAACTGAGCGCTTTCACTCAATCATTCAACTCTTACTCATCGAAGGATTCTTGAACAGCATTTGCTGCGGCCTGTCAATTTGAGCCTGGCTAGCGAAAAATGTCTTAAAAGGCTTAGCAAAACAGTCAACTTATCTTTTTCACGTGCACGTCTTCTCCCTGACATCACGAAGACACGGAGACCTGTCCTGTGGCCGTACACTGGCAGTGTCCCCCTGCGCATCAGTAACCGGGGATACATGAGCAGAGTAAATGCGTATTACAAACGGATCACAATACTCAGCAAAGAAAAACCATTCCTGATACGCATTTATTTGCTCATGTAACCCCGGTAAGTGCCAGCAGTCTCGTGACCCTTCCCAACCATCGTAATACGAGAAAAGAGCTGAAGTTGCACGCCTGGCAGCGGGCTACCGTCACCGAACAAAATAAGCTAAACTACGCTGAACGGCCATTGGTTGAATCACGCATTGCGTCACAGCGCGTTTGCGGCGAGAAACACTGGAGTTATGAAACGAATAGGAAGGCATCTATCATTCATTTAAACGTATTACAGCTCAAATATGACAATGCTTGGCATGGCGCGACACACATCTGAATCCTCGTTCACAATATACGTTTTCTCAATATGTACTAAGTATGACCCCATTGAGCTACCTCTAAATATAAATATTTTTTGATAAAATTTCATACAGATCATTTTTTCGTGAGGTAGAACAATATGGCTACCCGTCCCGGTCGAAATTAAAAAAGTCGAAATTAAGTGCCACCCTACTAAAGATACTTGCATTTATTAATATATGCTGGATACGACTTTTGTTTATTGTAATGGGTTGCGGCCGGCCGCTGCCCGCCCGGTCGTGCACGCCGGCTGCCCCGGCAGTGACCGGTCAGCTGATTTTAGCCTCGGGCGCTGAGCGGCCGGCCGGCCGGCCGAGTGCACGGTAGGCGATCGGGCCGGTCTAGCCTCGCGAAACCTCAAAGACACTTTTTTCCGAAAATTGGGAAACAACGCACATTAGTCGACAGTAAATTCATCAAAGATTACGATTAGGGTATTTGCATGGCTCAGGAAACATTTTTTCGTAGAGAAAAGTATCGTTAAAGACAGCGTTCCGTAGCACTTCATAAGGGAGATAATCACAGCCGATTTTTACACTCCTTGAATACTTTGCGGAACGATGAAATTGCTAAGTGTTGAGCATCCATTTTGCATGGAAAGTGAAATTTAGATGTTTAGACGATTCCGTCATAAAAAGCAAGTAGACAAAATAAGTCCAAGATGTCTTATAATTAGGTTAACTTTTTATATTTTTTACTGCCGCCGAACATTTATAATTCATAATTATAATTATAATTATAATATTATAATTATAATATAATTATATAATATAATTATATAATATAATTATAGTATAATTATAATTATAATTATAATATAATTAATTATATTCATATATAATTATAGTTCACTGAATTTACCAAGCCCAACAAAAAAAGGATTACGAGGAAGAACTGAAAATAATGCTGTATCGCATGCACAAAGACATTGTCTATAAGGGGAGTCTGTGAAAATTTGCAGCCACTTGCAGCCCTGGCATCCAGACCCTTTTTTTCTTCTATGGGTTGGCCGTGGCTTGGTGCACTTGAGCACACCTGAGGTAAATGCCCCAAAGGATGTTTTCGCGGTAGCTCAAAAGACCCAGGGGATAGACAGCTGCAACTTGGCATACCTGACCTTTGATGCAAGCTGGATCTTGTGACACCAACTGCACTTTCAAGTCAGGTCAGGTCACTGACCTATGACGTCATAAATGAACCTCTGCACGGTCCTCAGATGTTGCAAATTCACAACGCTCTCAGTGCCAGAGTAACTTTCACAGGGAGGTGAAACTTGCAGGAATTATTGTCCTCTAGAGGTCTTACAACTTTTATGTCTCAGACTTTTCCTAATGTCACGTGAGGCCAGGCTGGTCACGTGACCTCACCTATAAGTCAATAGGGAAATATGAAAACTGTTATTTTGGCGCCAAGAATGATATGCAATTGTCTCAAGTAGAGGTGTCAATTTCAGAAATCTCTTGTCCGATGTCCGTCCAATGTCCAAAATCCCAGCCCACTTTTGTCCGAAAAATGTCCAAAGCATGGATTTGTCCGAAAACTGTCCGAAAGCTGGATATGGAAAGAGAGTATGGGGGAATTGATCTATATTAGGTATATGTTTGCATGTAGGTACCACATGATCACTAAATAACAGATATTTGCCATCTGGTTTTGAGTGCAAAATATTGCAAACCAAAAATATTGAAGCAATATCATATGCAGTGCCTAGGGAATGGGGGTGGGCATTTGGGCAATAGGCCTAACCTGATATATAGCACAAACACAGCATATTGAGACAAGCCTATTCTGTTTCAAAATGTGCTAAAGCCTACAACTGAAGCTGAGTAAGCAGGAATAATGCAAAACATTGCCTTATCCCTCCAACTTGTGTTTTCAAATATCGACTTCTTGCCACATCCCTTTGACACTAAGCCACTTGATGATGAATTAATACAGCAATAATGCAAGAAGCTAGTCACTTACAATAATTGTGCATGTCTTCATCTTATATCACACTGGCTGAGATAGAGACTTGGATTGAGATGTAAAGTAGAACACTTCTTGCAAAAGCAAAATAGTTCATGTGAGAAGAAACGTGCTCTTCACTGAGCCACACATCTCTCAATATCTAAAAGAATAAGCGATCACCAAAATACTAGCTATGATTTAACACAAATTCACTGAAATTAACAAGCAAGAAGAGGTTGCAATCCTTGGTAGAATGAAAAACACATTTCATGCTACCATTCTTGGTAGCATGGAACATGGTATCCGGCTTTGAGTCGATGATGTGAAAGAAAATCAATAATATGACGTCATTTTCATATAACTTGTCCTATTGAAGTGATTTACCATAAATTGTTTGATTTAAATTCAATTTGTATTGCAAAATATGATAATGTGTCGAAAATAATTCAATTGTAAAGCAAAATAACTGTATTTATTGTTTCAGACGTCATTTTTTGTCTCCTCCGATTCTCATCGGGAGGCCATCTTTCCTTAGGTGACATTTATGACGCTTTCGCCGCATTTCATCATCTTTTGGTAATTGTTTAGTTTATTGATAGGCTATCGGCATTTATGTAGCATTTATTTTTCGGCACGGATATTTTTGGAGGGAAGGGGTAGAAGGGGATGACTTTATGATAGGAGCTTCTAGGTAAGACTCTTGTGCTACTTGGCACACCTTGATATTTGCAATTTTCTTCAGTCTCTTTTCTGTTAACTTTCAAGTGAGGCAAATCTATTTTTGGATTCCCTACATTACTGCTTTGGTGTCTGGTGCTTCTCACAGGTCAATGATTGTACATCATATTCATAAGTGTGTTATCTAATGATGGGCTTGCTGACAACAATGGCTATTGCCATTTGTAAACACATTTCCAAATTTAGAGTTAAAAGATGGCACAGTATAGGTAGTTATGTACCTTATTTGACTCAGAGCTACCTGCTACATGCAATCACGTTTATGTTCATCTTGCACTATAATTATGAATGATATATGATGCACCTATCCCCTGCCAATTTTGATGACATGTTTTGCAATTTGCATATGGATAATGGAAATAAGTTTGAATTTTAACTTATTTAAGAAATTTGTAACTTTCAAGTAGTTTTCCGAATATGTCCAATGTGTTTGTCACTTGTCCGTCCGATTTCCGAATCGGAATTCGGAAATTTTCGGAATTCCAAAATTTTCGGTTCCGATTGACACCTCTAGTCTCAAGCACATGGAATCATTATTTCATGCACTCCTTGCAAGATCTGATGGTACATTTAAGCATTGTTGATCTTGCATGACGTCATTTATGACGTCACTAGGGTCATACGAGTTTTTCGTCAATAACTCCCGATCAAATTGAGCTAGAGAGTCGGAAAGGTCACCAATGGACTCCAGAAGACCTGCCGAATCGAATGCTATGCGATGTGACCTTGTTTGACCAACTTCGTGACCTGAAGGCAGACCTCTGACCTGACCTTGACCCGAGGTCAACACCTTAAGGTGGCCTCACCTGAACAAAAAGTATACCTTTCGACACGCCTGAGCAAGGCGAACACAATGATGCCAAAATCGTGGTTCTGCGGCCATTTTTTGCGAAGTTATTAACCAAAAACGAAGCCCGTTGCTTGGGTCACGTTATGAAATGGGGCCTTGCCGGGCGAGGGTTACGATGTTTATGTACAAATGGGTAGGGCATAAATGTTTGAATAAAAAATTGGTTTGAAAGCAATGTTCTACAAAGGAACGCACCATTTCAATGTCTTACCCAACTCATATCGTCATAAATTTCGACGTACCGTAAACCGGGGTGAGTTGATATGGGGTGGTGAGTTGATATAAATTGCTCGAAAAATGTTAAAATGTGTGCTGCTCATCCATTTGTAAACCAATTTTCAGTTTTATTTTTCTGTGAAGTGAAGCAACCAATAAGTGATGCATATAGCTGAGAAAGGCATGCATGTGGTGCAGTGCCTTCTTAACACATTACTTTTTTCAAAGTCCTTTTTTTCTTCTGATTTTGAAACTAAGGAAAAGTCCCCACCCTACAGCAAAGACGGTGGATATTCATGAAACAACATGCACTGGAAAAGAAACTACCATCAATTTACTGTTGATCCCAGGTAGTTTTGGGTTTCACCTATAACAACGCTTTTTTATAATTTTAAGAAAAGTGACAGGTGGTGAGTTGATATGCCATCAGGTGGTGAGTTGATATGCATGATAAAAGCTGATATCAGGCTGGTAGGCACGCAAATTAGCATGAAATATGGGTCTGCAGGTAAGACAAAGTCAATTAGACCAACTCCTCTCCTTTTCTTTCCCCACATCATTCCATCAACCCCCAAAAGCTTTAGTTTTTTTTTCTGAATGCTTGAGACGAGGCCTGTTAGTATCACTGATGTTAGTTGTCGGACTTTCGTCCCCGTCTTGAGTTGAGATGTTAGTTTCACAACGTTTCAGCCAGTAACTTCTCCGGCCGTAGTCAAATCTGCCTCGATAGTGGAGTGGTTACAACCGTGGACCATCACCGGGGAAACCCGAGTTCGATTCCCGCTGGCTTCAGGAGCTTTCGAACTGTTTGACGCGTACGGCGCAACGCCACCAACATCCAGGTCCTTCTGAGGGTCAAAGAACACCTGACGAGTGACGACGGCCGGAGAGTAACTGGCCGAAACGTTGTGAAACTAACATCTCAACTCAAGACGTGGACGAATGTCCGACAACTAACATCAGTAACCCCAAAGTTTTTTTTTCTGTGGACATACCTAACGTGCAAAAGGCACAGCACAACTCCCTGTCAAGTCTCAAGATGACTCCCTACAAGCTACAAAGGAACACTATAGAACACCTATATTACATACAGATTAAAAACTGTTATAATTATTCGTAGTTTCGAAAATGACAGAACTGTCATTTCTGTATGGCTAACAGCGCGGGAATTCTGATCTCGTGAAACTGATAAGTTTTCCTGCTTGGCAGTTGCCAACCGAGAATGAGTGACAAAATGAAATGGAACAAACAATATAAGAAATTGACTGGTGTTTAGCCCTCGCCCGTATTCGTGTTTTGCCAGCGTTTAACGTATAGGGGGGGGGGGGGGGGTCCGTTGGAATCCCATCGTCGTTTGGTCCCTGGTGGAGCTAGAGCTTCGCGGAAAAAAATGAGCGTGTTGCCCGAGACGCGAGGAAGCCGATGATAACCAACTTTAAGGTCCTAGGTCATTGGTTAACCTTCCAGGCCAGGTCAATTACCCAGAAGTCGGGAAAATAGGGGGTTATTTGAAGTTCGTAAAGCGAGTTTATTATTTTTTGGCTGTTGCTGATCACGAACGTCATGCTAGTTTTGAGCACAGATGTCTTCGTACATTTAGGCCAGGTCAGGTCAGGTCAGGTCAACCAGTAGGTGTCCTGCCGACCATCCATAGGGAGTGTCAAGTGTCAGCTACCACTGACGGTGTCGTAACATGTTACGAAGGCACTAAAACTACTTCATAACTATGATCAAATGCATGTTAAATTCGAAATCGGCCCGAAAAAAAACTACCCTAGAAACATGTAAAACTCCAAAAAGTGAACCGAGGTCACCAAAGGTCAATGACCTGACCTGACCTTCAGGTGACCTTGACAGTTGACACCCACAATACTGCGGGACCAACATCCAACATCATCCAGGGACCAACATCATTTACATGTTTGGACGTTACAATCACAAAAAGACTGGAAATGCGCAGATAATGTGAGCTGACTACGCCAAATCGCGATTCCGGCCAAGCCTGGTCTCGAGAATCAGGTCACAAGTCAAAAACCATTTGAGTCAGGGTCATGAAATCTTTAGAACATGTGTAAAATTGATAAACTCGAGAGGCACTGGAAGTTTCGTCGTGATCGGCCGCTTTTTGCGCGAGTTATGTGCGAAAAGCCGAGGTGGTCCGTTCACCCGCCTATAAGTGCGAGGGTTAATTTTGGCTTTTGATGCCGAATTCTGTTTTATGTCGCTTATTTCACCTTATAGAATACAGTCCGAATTAGATTCGCTTCACTTCACTTCATTAATATTTTGTTGACTACCAGTCAACAAAAGCTCAGAAGTATATGTATTCTTTCATTTCAATCCATTATCTCTGTCAGAGGCATATCAACCTTGACCCGCAACTGACAATGTGTTTTAATTACAAGAAAATACACTTGTAATTCCAAAATATATTGCCAGTTTTGATACCGTTGGCTTGAGGACACGTGACTAGCCAAGTTCAGAATGTTCTAAGTAAAACTAAATATCATAAAGCGAAAAAATGAAGCTGCTAAAATCAAGCCATTTTGATAGCGCTGTGTTGGACATGATTGCGTTTTCATGAATGTGAGGTCTGCTGCCAAACTACTACCATTTTTCTGATTGTTGCTTTTAGGATGTGTTCTCAATTCCTTTTTTTATACACTGGCATTTTATCAATTCACCTCTAAGCTTCTTTAGCCGAGAAATTTTGAAAAATCCAAAACCATATCAACTCACCACCCCCCAGGGGGTGAGTTGATATGAACTTTGGCGTTTTAAAAAAGGGGCTTAATATATACATTTTTTATTCATTTTTGCTGATTGCCTCCCCAAGGCATGTGCCATGAAACTGGCACAAAAAGAATTCCGTAAATGAATGTGACTTTTAAAGAAATCTAGAAAAACCTCAAAATCCATATCAACTCACCCCGGTTTACGGTACCCTCAAAAGTATTCATGCGTTATTCGGGCGGCAATTAGGCAAATTGCAAGCTCTCCAAAGAACACAAATCCTGAAAAAGATAGTTCTTATTTAATACGTATGCTAATTAGATATTCAAGAAGGTTGCTCCTAAATATTGTAGTTCTAGCTTCATAAACATTGATGTTATGAATGCTGATAGGTTTCGCGAGGCTACAGCGGCCGGATCGCCCACTGTGGAGTGGGGAACGTGCGACGGGGCAGACGTGTGCGCCGAGTGCACTTGTACTGAGGCTGGGTGACTGCGTGGTCAGTGCTGTCAGTGGAAATCGAATTGTCAATAGCTAGCATGAACTTTTGTTTATCGATAGCTTAGCTATTATCGGTAGGTAGTCTTTTGTTTTTATTTTCATCTTATCATTTCATTAACCCTCGTTAAACCTATCGGTTATCTACACATGATAGGGCTGCTGGACCATTTTTTGATCCTTGGCGTTTCCTTCCTAATTGAGCTAGAGGTTCACGAAAAGCGAACGTGGGCGCCCTTCGATACGCAACGACTGGTACGCAATTCTATGGTCTCGCTTCAACTGGTGCAGTGACCACAGAGTTCAGGTCAGCTGCCCCAAGGAAGAGGTCTTGTTTTTGGTGAATGATTTAGCCCTCCCTCCCCCCCCAAAAAAAAAGATCGCAGAATGTCCACCTAAGGTTTACAAGGAAAAGTTAACCCACGCTTGTATTGGCGTTTTCCCACCCGCTAACTGCAAAACGCCCCAACCCCAGCCGTTCGGCCCCTGATCGAGCTAGAGCTTGCAGAAAAAAATAGCGTCTTTGTTCTAAGAAAGAGAAAGCCCACGACAGAGAAAACGAATGGCACCCAAGTTAGGTCAAGGTTCTAGGTCAGTGGGTGACCTCCCAGGTCAGGTCAATGACCCAAATTCGAGGAAATCTGGTTCTGCTAGAA